CCTAAGGACAATTATGACATGGCGAGCGAGTATTTCGTACTTCAATTTTATGGCTTTCCGTCACTCACAAGTTAGTTTGATGTTACGTACATTATTAACATTACAGAATCCACATATTCCTGCCAGTTTTAATATGTATTTTGTAATCAACAAGTGTGTAACACCGGTCAAAGTTTGACACTTCTCTGGCCATTATCTCCGTAACCGTTCAACTTTGGACATAGGTGTTTTGGGTTATATTGGCATACTTTAACATAAGGAACACCCTCCCGAAGTTTAGTCCATTCCTCCTGGGACACCCTGTATATGCATACTGTGTAAATAATATGAGTACTGCACTTTTATCCAGGAGCCTCAGTGATATAAGCCTGCAAATGAAACACACAAGCCAACTGCCTACTTATCCACAAACTTATATTTTTACATCTACAGAAAAAAAGAAAACAAATTACATACTGGTATGACATACCTACTATGAAAAAAACCAGGACGTTGAATCTTAATAACTCTATAACAATGTTTCACAAATGGTGTGCTGTGAAAGCCCCAGGTTCTGCAAAGTGCAATTAAGAGTTCCACAAGAAATTTTCACTAAAACATATAAAATTGTGCTTCAACTGCTGTTTTTGTTATAATAAAATTCACTTAAAATAATTTTCATTTTGGAGCTTCTATAGATCAGAAACCTCACTTTCAATAGAAGAAATTAACAGACTAAGGATTGATTGATTGATTGATTGATTGATTGATTGATTGATTGATTGATTGATTTAACATCCATAACTGTTACATTATGTACAATTGGACAAGTCAGTTTTTAAAAAAATATATGAGATTAAACATCACATCAAATGACTAATAATATAAAAAACCATAGAAAAATAACATAATAAGTCCTTTAAATATGATAAAACAGTGGATGAGTATAATAAGGCAACAAAAGCTAAACTATAAATTACATGCAATAGCTAAAATAAATTACCTAAGTATCTTTGTTCTATTATTAAGCTAATTCTTGTAAAAATATTCTTGAAGGGAATAAAAAGCTTTGCACAACAAGTAATCCTTTAATTGACACTTAAAAACCTTGAACTCTTGAATACTTCTTATTTGAGAGGGCAAGTTATTATACAATCTTTATTCCCATGTTAATCACACTCCTTTTACAACGTGAGGGTGTTTGTCTCAAATGGGAAAAAGCTTTGTCAAGACATGCAATTTGTCACCTGATACCCTTAATGAGCACTAATTGTGTGAAATTGGATTCTTCAATTATGCAGCGACAAAAGCAAAACACAGAAACAGAATAAATGTGGAGCCAGATTTGAAAACTCAAGTTTCCAATATCAGGCCAAACATAAAAGGAATTTGTGAAGGTAAAAAGAAAAACTGCTCTTCACATCGAAAACTGCAAATTATGTGACATGTTAATTTTCAATTTTCTTTTTTTCATTTAGATGAAAATTTATTTTTTTTTTATAAATACGTGCAGTTAAATAATATGTTGATCTGACACCCTTGTTTAACATTTAATTATTATCTTTACTTATTTGTGGTCCAGTTCTTAGCTTCATATATAAAAATGTTATTAGGGGTTCCATAAAAATTTGAGTGATAAAGGGTTTCACGGGCAAATTAAATTGGTAAGCAATGTTCTGTCACAATCTACCAACTCTAATCAAGATACTGCTATTGGCCTTACCTTAACAATTTTAGGGTCTTTTGTTTCACAGCCTTGTACTAAAGGATAGAGAATTTGGTTGACTATGTAAAATACTGGTGTCTGAGGATTTGCAGTGGCATTTCTGAGCTTCACAATGCCTTCCTCACATGACTGAAAACAATGACATATAAATCAATGATTAAATACTTATGTGAACACTCTCCAGGGGAGTACATAACACTACTGAGCTAGAAAGGGAACACCAGATATTTTAGTAGATCCATAGTACTTATCATTGACAGATTTTGTGATAATTAGGAAATTAAAATGGATGATTTCATAGTTAATCTGTCCACTGATGATACACAATAATCATGATGTAACAGAATACATGCAATAATCATAATATAACAAAACATTTTGCAGTCTTTTGAAGAACTCTTTCTTTCTAGCAAAAATGTATTTTTCATCGACTGCTTTCAAATTGATGTCATGGTACAACATAAATTTAAGAGGTACCTGGATCTAACTCAGCCACAGTTTCTTTTTTTTGGGGGGGGGAGGTATTTCTCAGTCTCTCACAGCTAATACTCATACAGAACTTTAACACACATCATGACAGCTTCCTTATATATTTTTGTGTATTAATGATCACCTCCCAAGCCCATTCACTGCCACACAATCTTCAAAGTTTATAAAACTATAATTAAAGAACCCAAGAATCAACTGACTGACTGACTGACAGTTATAATTTGGCCAATGATGAGAAATGTTTCAAATCGATATTGAAGAGGTTTTAGTGTCATCATCCTTTTTATTCTATAAATGAATATTTTCAAAACAAGGATGACAAAGATGGTAATCTTGATACTTTTTGTAAGGATTTAATGTATAACGTATTATGTTATTTTAACCTTTGTCTCTTTTGTCATCTTGCCTGACAGCTGTACATTTTACTGGATTTGAGGTGCTCAGCTGATTGCCTGTATTAATAAGTAACCGTACTAGGATCTACAATATCTATAATGATATCTCAGTTATTTTATCTCATAAGATATATGTAATTACCATATTTTATATTTGTATTCGTTAATTGAACTTTTAGTATACTTTAATTTTGAAATGTTGTGAAATGAATTTATTTATTTATTTCATATCATATCCATGGATCATTGTACATGATATAGGACAAGTCAAATACTTTACAATACAATAAGTAATAATAATAATAGTAATAATAATAATAATAATAATAATACAATATATAACACAATGATATAATAGTATACAAAGATAATAAAATTATGATTCGAATGATATATATCCTGGGTGGTTATGGTTATGGAGAGTTTGATGGAATGATGGAATATGTTATGGTCGTGTTACGTTAGCTTTTACGGGTTGTAATTCAATCGATTATAACTTGAGCAATTTCCACTTTTTTGTGGTTTGATTATCACTATGTATAATTTCGTTTTATGACTGTTTTGTATGTGACTGAGTTCTATTTTATGAACTGTTCTTGTGTATGTTTTGATTTAATAGACTTGTTCTACATCCTAGGCTTGGCCAAAAAGGATTTATTGAATTTAAAATAAAGTATAAAGATTACAAATACCAAAACACTTTCTTATCTGACTTACTCGCCAAATTTCACTTAAATCTAATACTGGGGAGCTTTGTTATATATGAAGTTAAAACACAGAAGTGTTGGATACATTTTTGTACATAAAAAATAAATAATGATATTCCAGTGTAACTACTACAATCATTTTATCACCCCTTTATAGATAAAATAACACACTCCTTTCACTGCTTGACAATCCTTTCATATTCCAAACAGAACAAAAGTTTGAGGAGGATCTCAAAACATAATGTTTCACCTACTGCTCTGATGAAATTGCCAGAATTCCACCAATAAGTGAAATGTCCATCAGATTTCAAGAGGAATATCTGACAACTCCAGTCTCCTGTGGATGCTTCCACAGAAAACCTTTCCACTGAGTCAATGTCAGTGTATGATTTCAGTCCTTAGCCTTCTTTAGATTACTTTCTCGGTGTGTCTAATATATTTCACACTCAGAACACAATTATTTTGCACATGAGAAACTTGTAAATCGGAAAAACGGATATACAACATAACCTCACTTATTTAAAGAGCCATGAAAGTCAAAGGATACCATTAGCTGCTTTAAATCTTCTAATTAACTTACTTCTTTAATTTGGGGGAATTTCTTTTTTGTCTCTATTGACAAGTTCTTCAAGTCATTTTGTAGACTTTCTAGAAACTTCTGTGCGGCTTCATTCCCCGTTGTCCCACTAACACACTCCATCTGATATATTCACAAGTCTCGAGTTGGGACACAACACGATTAATAGGCCTCGGGCTAATATCTAACACACGTAAGCGTTCATTTCTCTCACTTTGTAGTATCACGCAAAATTATGAAAATGAAACCTCTTTCTAGATTTCACAACATTTTTTTACAGATGAGTTGGCAATGAACACAGATAAACAACTGGGGGATTGATAACCAAGATCGTTATGCCTTCTGAGCGAGAGGTTGACGGGAATCTCAACCGCTGCGGACGGAGACCCAGTCCATCCGATCCGTGCCCATTGCAATGTTAAACTTGTCTTGCGAATTTTTACCACCACGGGTCTGTAACTGCAGCCTTTCATTATATTTATGGCTGACTAGTTTCTCACAATTTCTCTGCTTTCTTGAGAGAAAACATCTTTTACTCTTGGCAGGCACAGGTTTTTGGGAACATTTTGAATAAGCACCATGAGAGAAAAGTACGAGAAACTACTAAAAATGTGAATTGAACGGCGAATAGGAAAGCTACAACGTCTCTAATTTCAAACACAGGTAAAGGTAAAATTGTTCCTGCGCTTAATTAATTAAGCACCTTACCATGAGGCCATGGAGGCGCGTGGTTACATTCATGCCCCAGCCGCTTTTCCCCTAGGGAAAGTCGCTAGCACCCATTGTATAATATGCTTCGTGGACATCACCGCCAGTCTTGAAGCTGTGAAGAACAGAAAAGTTTCTTGTCCCCACTGGAAATCAAACCCAGATTCCTAGGTCGTTGAGGCCGTAGTCGAGTCGTTATACTCACTATGAAAGATGATTTACCACATACATACATAATTAATAAACTCACTGATCCGTTGTCCGAATTTGACCGGATATTGAACATCGCTACTGCAAGCAAAGAACAAAACTATTGACTGCATATTTAGAAGCCAATAAGCATTCATGTTGTGAGCAGTTATTCATATTAATAAGCATTTCAGACAATACAGCTGTTATGGCAATAAAAGTGACTGAATTTTTCAGTATTACGACATCCTTGGTATATAGAGGAGACGAAAGTTACCTGTGGTCTGATGAAAAAAAAATGTTCAAATTAGCGATACATGGTAACTACTGTGATACTCGAATTCGAAATGTCGAACATGTGCGCCTATTAACCTATTAGCCCTATTGGTGTCCGATTGGTCCGAGTCGACCGAGTAACTTTGGTGTACGACGTATAGAGCGGTATAGAGCGTATAGATCTGTGGTGTACGGGGTGGTAGAGCGGTATAGAGACTACTATAGAACGTGCCGAAGAATTCGTCTGGTTTGTTTGCTATAATGTTCGATGATCAAAATGAGTGATTGACACCGATTCATGCGTAGAAGCTGTAGGAGTGACTTTTGAACTTTATTTATACGTCAGTGATGGAGCACACGGGAATGCAGCAAGTGGTTGACGTAGAATGGAAATTCGGCGGTAATATTTCCGTTATGTTGTTGTTCATTACATTCTCGATCCAGCAATAAAACAGTTAATTTTCATTTTGTTATAATTTTATTACACTGATTGCAATTTTGACAATTTGTTTTATATTGTATTGGACATCAGAATTGAGTGGGTTGGAATTAGGGTGTGTACAATGGATTATGTGGGGGCATTATGCTACAAGCCGGAAGGTCGCGGGTTCGAGTCCCAATGAGAAGGGTTTCTGCAGTTGGCCTAATACTTCCAGCCACACTATGGCCCGGGGGTTGACTCAGCCTCTAACAGAAATGAGTTCTGGGAATATTCTTAGGGGGGCTAAAAGGAGGCTGATGCGTAAGGCTGACAATCTTACCGCCATCTGTGAGCCGTTGTCTAGAGAAAATGTGGGAGGCTCGACATCTCAAAACCCTATGGGCCTTTGCGGCCTCTTACAGGGATAGCTTCACCCTTTTCTTTACAATGTATTATGTTAGGGGTAGCTAACATGAATATAACCGAAGTATTTGTGAATAAATATTGATGAAAATCACAATATTTTTCAGAGGCTTGCTAATAAAAGGAGAAATTATAAAGACTGCATCCTAACATTTGATGTGCCCATGTCCCTTGACATGTTCATAAGAAGATATTTGTGTATCTGCTATAAAAACATTATACAGTAATCACAGATTTTCCAGCCACATGTAATGCTGCCACATTGTTTATCTTTAAAAATACGAGTATTCTTTGTGGTAGTGGAATGTTTCATCACATGATACTTGTAATTTTTTTTTTCCAAATAAAGGAATTTCTAAATATCTTCATATTTTCTGCAGCCAGAGAATAGTTTGTCACGAGTAAAGCAACATAACTGGAGTTTCATGAAAAGCATTCAGAATGGTATTAAGGGAACCAGGCTGAACTGCAGTGGTTTTAGAACACAAGTCAAATGAATTGAGTAGAAATTTTGAGGGTGGGGGTAAAGGAGATGTCTGACAAAAAAAAAGTAAAATGAAGCAAGCAAAACAAATATTAGAGAGTGGTATAAAGGCTTAAATAAATTTAAGAAGAGATACTAACTTAGGACAAACTTTGTAAAAGATTAAAATGGAATTCCTACAGTGTAAATAGGTCAGCCAGTTGCCTCATTTAGCTAGTAAACACATGTAGGGTAATTTTAAAATTGTAAATCCTTGGAAGTACTGAATAGCCTGCATTTCCAAGACATTTAAATCTGAATTTTGTTGAGTTTCAAGATGTTGCCAACTTTATGATGTCCTGAGGTGGGTGACATTCACTGTCTGTGCATTACAAGTACAGACATTCTGCATGTATGACATAAGTATGGAATTTTCTGTTTCTTTTTGGATCAGTGTGTATCACATTCTACTTTTCTGAAGTTTTTCTGTGTGTGAAGTTCTCCCTTTTTCCCAGAACTAATCTAATACAAGACTAAAGCTTGTGTTTGCTGACACTTTGTCACCCCAGTCTCCATTCTTGGGTGGGGGGGATGCTAGTTTCTTCCACAGTTACTATACAAATCCAAGAGTAGCAACATGTGAATTGTTACTGTATGAATTCTAGATTGGCTGAGAACCCCTTTCAGCCACCATCTGAATCTCATAAAAATTGCTGGCAGCAGCAGGACTTGTACAACATTGTCATAACTAAGACTATCAATGCTATGTTCCTCTTCATCACTTTCAGCTTGCTTGTAATCACTGTGACGTACTCCAGAAACTGAACCATGATTACTGTGAACAGCAAAATCTTCACATTCATTTACATGGCTTCCTTCTTCATTGTACATCCATCATAAGATAGTTCAGAATTCTGATTACTGTAGATCACTAAACATGAGGTTCCTGGAATAAAGTGTTAAATTTAGTACCCACATCCAGTCTGCCTAGACTGCTTGCACAAACCAGTAGAAAATTATTTGACAGATCCTGGTCAGCTGAACTGAGAGGGGGTTTATTGTATGGTGGAAAGTATTGACATTGACTCGTATGGGTATTGGTTGAACTGATAATACAATCTGTTTGACTAACTACTTTAGTCTGACAGGCCAAACCTGGGTACTTATGGGTTAATTGTGTTAGACAGATTGACATATATACACCTGAACCATTAGTATCCGAGCCTAGTTCCTTTGAGCTTGAGAATGCTATCAGAAAGTTGAAAGTTATAAATTGCCAGATACTGATACAATTGTGGTAGAACTGATTCAAGCAGGAAGTGAGACATTACATTCTGAGATCCATAAACTTATTCGGTTTGTTTGGAGTAGGGAAGAACTGCCTAAGCAGTGGAAGGAATCTGTTAAGGTAAAGTTCCTGTGATTAACTAACTAAGCACTATGTCATGATGTATTCTTGACCTCACCACTAGTTGGAGGTGAGTGGTCAGCTTCATGCCCCAGCCACTCCCCCCCAATGGATAGTAGGCTGGGTGGGTCCCAGAACTGGTCTGAATGATGTGGAGAGGAGAAAAGTCTTGTCTCTACCAGAACTTACAACTCCAACCTGTAGTCAGTTGCTATACTGACTGCACTACCCCGATTACATGTTTATAAAAAGTGTGATTAAACTAACTAATAATCATTGAGGAATATCTCTCTTATCCACTTCATGCAATATTTTTTAACATTCTGCTGAAGGTTAACTCAAAATTATTGGGAATAGTCATTGTGGAATTTAGTGCTATAAATTAACTGGATCAGTTATGAGTATTTGACATTTATCATATAGTAACTAATTATAGACTACAGTAAGCCTGTGGACACAGGAAATAAATGCTCTTCAAAACTTTCATTAAATTTATTCTACCCATGCAGGTAGTTAGGCTAATTAAATGATTAAACACTATAGACAAGTATATTAACTTAAAATTTATATCAGTAAACATATTTCTGATGTCATGGTTTGAAACCAGATGTTTTATTACCATTATTTTTCCAGCTTTGCCTTTCTTCACATATATAGCCAAGCAGCTATCAAGAGGCAGTACGGTCGCCATATTAAATGTATTCATCTGTCAGACCACTTTGTGGCAGATGGGTGAATGCTTAGAGTTAGAATATTCTGAATTTTTGGTAACTCTTCCCCTTTCATGTCAGTTTTGAAGAATGTAATATTTGATTGTTTGTTGGCAGTGACTGCAGCCAGCAGCAAGGAAAGACAAGTGGGTACCACTTACCTCCACTTGAAGCTTGTGTTGGACACTGGTTGTGGGCATACAAAGAATGTTTATTTGGAGATGTCTCTACCTCAGTTCTATGCTTTCCTGCATGAACTAGAGAAGGCAAAGGGTAGTTTAGATTACATCAGTTAGCATCTTGCATTTTCTTTTGGTTTCTTCTTTTTTTATGAAATGCATATCTGCCTCATCCAGAATATCGATGAAAATAATTGAAATGCTTCCCACCTTGGACAAAGAAAGAAAGCAGTGATATTCTGTAAAAATTGACAGCTGCTCTGTGAGTCATCAATATTACAAAATCTTTATTCAAAACTGACTGTACGAGTATATCTGCACTTCTTTTCTTTGGCAACGAATTGTTTCTAATGAAAGTGTTTGTAGTGTTCATTCTTGCTCTTATTCTGTCCTTTGTTTTTGAAAGTGGTTTACTGAAGGGGCCACGTTAACCTTTCATCATTATTGAATCTTGCAAGTTAAAGTTAAATGAAGGAACTAGTGGATGTGAAATGTGGCTATATCACCCTTGAGAGAATGGCTCTTTCCACATAGTGTGGCAATGGTACAGTATGAATGACAAGTCTCATGACATGTAAAGAAGACAATATGAATGAAGCCAGTGTTATGCAGTACTGCTTGAAGGAGCTGATTATTTTTCTACTTTTAAATTTAGCTGAAGTACTGTAATATACTGTCATATTTTTTTGGCACAGTGAATGCACCTTCCATGCTGCAGTATTTTAAGTACTGAACATAAGCAGAAAATGCACTATGCAGGTCCTTAAATTTTCTAATGTGCAAGAATTTTTTTGGGGGGTGGGGATGTGCTCACAGTTGCAGGACTTATCAGAACAGAATGAAACATGGTACTGCATGGAAAAGCAGTACCAGAATGAGTAAATGTAGCAGCAGTAGTGGATTCTAAATATGGTGAAATTCCCATTTAATGTTCCACAGTTTAAGGTTTTCCCTCATTTAATGTTCAATTTCAGTGTTCCCAAGCCAGTAAACTCCATGTTAACATTACCTACACTTAAGATTTTCCTCAGTTAATATTTGAAAGAATCTGTAAACTGAAGTTTTACTGTTTGTGTTTTGAAGGTTTCAGTAGAAACATATTTGCTAAAACAGAAAAGTACATGTCAGTTGGCAGTAACGCATACCTGAGCCAGTTTTAATAACTGACCGGTCATAGTTGTCAGTATGCAAAATAGACCGCCAGTCACGGTAGCCAAGAGGTCTAAGGCATGCACTGTCTTCGCTCGCACAAGCCGGGATCGTGGGTTCGAATCCCACTCAGGGCATGGATGTTTGTCTACAGGTAGAGGCCTTGCGATGAGCTGATCAGTCGCCCAAGGAGTCCTACCGTATGTGTAAGATCTAGAAAAACCAAAGTGAACAGAGTTAATGGTGGTAGGCCTAGGCCCACTGGGGCTGTAGTGCCAAGGGGGGGGGGAAATGCAAAATAGACCAATCATGTGCTATAATGATTAATTATAATTTAAGATAAAATACAAAATTGTGCACCCCAGTGTTTAATGCCCAGTTTATTCTGACATATAACTTGGTATATAATACAGCAATACCTCGCATAGTCCGGATTTCAAATTTCTCCGGTTTGAAAATTTCAAAACACTAAATTTTAATTGAGCAAAATAAAAATAAATTCTAAGAAATCAGTACACAAAATTATTTTTAATACGTAAATGATCGTTTTTTTTCCTTTATACAGTCAAGTTTTTTTTGTGCGGTTTATTTTTATGTGGTTTTAAAGTTATGCAATATGATACATATTTCAATTTTTTCTGGGGTTCCCTGTTGTATTTGTATGTATCTATGCTCTGGGTCATTCATTCTTGAGCTCTGACAGCTATCGCTGGAGGAGATGAGGGGAGCACTACTTCAACGGAATTTTGGAAGAACTAAATCAGAAACATTATCGAAAATATAGACGAAGCATGGCATGAATTAATGGCAAGCAAGCTGAGGGCAGTATGGAAACATAACATATACCACATTGTGCAAATGATTTCATTGGTTTTGAAACTCATTTTGCTGAAGTCACTAATAACATAGTGGAAATTGGACAGAAACTTGGCTTCAATGAGTTAGATTCCATCAACATAATTCAGTGCATCAAATTGAACACTAATGAACTAGATAATTAAACACTTATTAACATAGATGAACAGCAGGGTTATGAAGAACGGGAGGACAACTTAGACAACGACAACTGTTAACGTGCCTGCACGAGAATTAGCAGCTGAACATGTATAAAAATTATTGGAATGGTTGAAACCTTGTCAGAGCATATTATGGAAGTTGATCCCAATATTGAATGTAGCCTTACGATAAACGATGCAATTCATTGCTACAAAGAAATGTATGAAGAGAAAAGGCCAAAGAAGAAAAATGTGCAGACATCAATATTGCAATTTTTAGAGAATAAAAAATGAATTGCAAAAAAAAATGATTTTTTTAAAATTATTTCTAATAAAGACATTTGAATTTATTAATTGCTTTTTATTTATTGAAAAAACAGTTTTTTTAACCAAGTATCATTTTTTGTATGTATTTAGTTCCTCAATTAGTCTGGTTTCAAACAGTCCGGGATATCGGTGGAACCAATTACCTGGACTAGCGAGGTATTGCTGTATTTGAATTAGTACAAATTTATTTTAACTGTGAACAATGTAGCTGTGTGAGGGGCATGAGATTGTAATTGCTGTCTTAATGTGGTCAAGACAGTGCAAACATGTTTTGTAACAAAACATATTTGATTATGATGTACTTCAATTCAGTCATTTGTCTTCCTTGGAAAGTAGTTTTCCTTGTGACTAAGTACCACACCACCAAGGAATATCCAGTTTCTAAACCACTATTTTATTCTTATATAAGATCAAGTTTCATAGTTTCACTTCCTGTTGCACCACTTCACTGTCCTAATGCTGTCAGACTTATTAATTTCAGTATGCTTCCTGGAGGAAAATAAATTTTACTGTGTTAACTGCATTAGATACAGCAAAGGAGTTAATGAAGTAAAGTGAAATACCTGTTTAGGGTTTTGTTTGGAGAGCAGTTGATTTAAATAGTAAACTGATGAAAAGTGTAAGTGGAGGAAGTTACTGGCTTGGAGTCACAAAAACTGAATGTTAAATGAAGGAAAACTTAAACCAAGGAACAATGAATGGGGTCTTCACTGTACATTCACATTTACAGCAAAATATAATTGAATATATCATAGTAAAGGTTTGCGTTAGTTACGCTATGTCAGTGCTTCTCCCCTTGATGAAAGGAAGGAATACAATAGTTCTGGAACTTAAGAAGTGATGTATATCATTATTATTGACCTGAGTTTAGACACTGAAATAATTATGATACTTGACTTTAGTTACCAAATTTTTGAGTGGTGGTTTCTAAAGAAGAAGAAAAAATTGTGCCATATGTTAAGTAAAAGAAAGTTACTATTATATTATGAAAAATTCAGCTTCATTATTTCAGTGTTTAAACTCGTATTTAAGGTATAAAGATTAAATATTACATATAAAAGGACCAATAAATGATCCAAATGATGTACAATACTGGATTACTGTCTTTTTATTTTGAGCAATATTGAAGAAATTGATTCCTAGAAGAAAGAACATATGCATGTCTTCATATAAAGACAGTATTTTCACTGGTAGTCACACTTGTTCATGGAGATCATCTTCCCAGTTGAGCTTCATGTAATGTACCTATAACTTCCATGCAGACCATCTCCTGTATGCTCATGATATACTTGTAGCTTGTCCAGTTTCCTAGTAGTTGCATACCTTTTACATACATGCTTGGAGGGCTCTTGTGAACATGGTGATGGATCTTCGGGTTCCATAAAATGCTGCTAACTTCTCGAGTAGCTGAACAGTTGGTGGCTTCTCAAGAAGGGCTCAGCTCCAAGAGTGAGAGAGTGAGTATACATACATGGCTGCATCTGACCTAGTAAGAGCTCTATATCAGTAATACAATCTCATGTTATAAGCATGTCAGGTGGTTAAAATTACTGATGTTTCAGGGACCATCTCTGTCCTCATCAGAGTCTGATGTGACATAGGACTGAAACTGTCCTGTCCTATGTCACGTGAGTAATTTTTAACCCACCAATTACACATATATTCATACATACTTTAACTAGTCCCATACCTATATCTTCCTACCTGAAGATTGAGACAGAACCAGGCTGCCTTCCTCCCCCCCCCCCAGACCATTCTAAGTAGGAAAGGACTAAGTAAATATTTGCCTATGAAGATATTAATACAGGTTAATTAAAAAATAACGTGACATGACACCTGAAAGGCAGAATAATGGAGCCAGAAGAAATTATCTTTTGCTAGGTAACAGCTATGCACAAAACAGTTGAAGACACTGTTGGAGACAGGGTGTTCTGTATGATCTAACCTGAGGTTATATAGCATGCACAAAAAAGGCAAGTTAGTTGAGAGCCAGCAGCTGGGGCAGTGAGTTAGTTCTGACAGTCACCAACTGGTAAGGAAGCAGAGGACACTGTTGGGATCCATTATCAGGCGAAAACTTATGACTGTGTGTGCTGCAGTCAGAAGTAGAGTGCATGAATTAAGAGTTATAGTTACCTGTAGTCATGATTTATCCAATTACCAATCCAAACCCTGTGGCTAGTATCTTAATTAGCCCAGTTCCATGGTCATACCAAATTCAATGGAAATTTAAAATATTTTCCCCCATGTCAGGCTATATTGAAGTGTATGAATACAGTTGATACTTTCTCATAAGAGAAAAGCGGCCTCCGTAGTCTAGAGGTAACGTTCCCACCTCATGACTCATGGTACGCGGGTTCAAATACCCGGCGGAGGTCGTCAATTTTTTAAGGGCGGAAAAATTCAGGGAACAAGTCCTCCGGGAGGGACTTTAAGCTGTGTGTCCCCTGTTGTAACTTTACGGCACGTAAAAGAACCTTGTATCTCCAAAGGAGATCACTGAGCCAAATTCCAGGACGTTTCCCGCCCAATAATAGTCTCTAAGGCCTCTGATAGACGGGGGAAGCATTATAGACACTGCTAAGCAAGTGGCCGATCTTGCTTGCTCAGCGGGACTGATGGTACGCACCATTTATTGGTAGGGTATAGAGACTGGTAGAATATCATAGAGGGAAGCACAATGGACCAATACTGGTCTAAGT